CTCCACAAATTTGAAATTTTTGAAGGGGAACTTTCCTAGAGATCCACATTCTTCTACCCAATTGTGTTTCTTATTATAACTATCTAATATTTTCATCTGCATTAAAAAATATGAAGTTATGATCCAAACAAAATATGCATTATAATTTACATAATGTTCTTTCATACATACCAATCTCTTAGCATCATTCACTCTCTGTTTAACTACTTCATATGTAAACAGACTATCATATATTATTGCAACATGATCTACCATATCCAACACCAACAGATACCAATGCGAATCAACGTAGTTTATTGTGATCATGATATGCAACAAATTTCACACCCAATTTGACAAAATTCAACATTCTATATCTGAAAACATCATTTGCAATTCGTATGGTGTCTTACCTTCTCACAGTCGGTGAATTTCACATAGTTACCCAATATAGGACCCCAAAAGGTAGTAATACTCTCAACACTTACTTTGTTGTTGGCATCCAACGCCTGTTGCTGCAATTACACAACAATCATTATTAATTTACCGTCTATAACACTACTTTTCAATATTTATTAATTTAACTCACCGCTAAGTGGTATGGAAGGTAGCCAATCCTCCGGAGTGACTTTTTCGAATCGTATCATACTGTCCAGGCGAGCAAATCAATAACCTAACAAAATTAGTTACACAATCAGAACATATTCAATAGGTTTTAACATTTTGTACTTTCTACTTACCACACCGCCAACCCATTCCGTAGGCTTCAACGTTGCAACGTCGGATATATTAGCGAATTGATTTCCCATTGACATTACATAATATATGTATGAATCATTAGGATTAATATCTTGTCATGAAATATTTAAATATCACTCACAAAGCAATATATTTCACTTACCCCAATTCTAACCCACTATTCCATAAATAATCACAAATTGCAGCTTCGATGTCATCAATTCCGCTTGGAATATCCGCTTTTTCAACCTACAATTTTGCATACAAATTTTTGTCACAACATGATAAAGATCAAATTAAGTTTTCTTTTATTCAACTTACCTTCTGCTTCTTCTTATGGGGTGCAGGACATTCCGAATCCAAATTTGCATCTATAAAACTCTCCGGTGTATAGATCACGTCGACATCCTTCCTCCTCATTTCCTCCATATTTTCTTCTTCATCCCTCTTTTCTTCTTCCTCCCTCTTTTCTTCTTCTTATTTTTTCAGTTCATCGTTTTTTTTCTCTACATAGCTCTTCATCTATTTTATTTCACCCTTCAATTTTTCCCCTTCATCCAAGTATTCATCAATCACCCCCTTCACCCCCTTTTCCCCCGTAAGTTCACTCCTCAATTCCACAACCTCCTTAATCACTCCATCAATTTTTTCACCCCTCACCATTTTAAGTTCACCCCTCAACACCTCAACTTCTTTCACCACTTCACCCTTCAACACCTCAACTTCTTTCACCACTCCATCTATTTTTCCTTCCACTTCCCCCTTATGCCTCTCAAGTGTCTCTTCGACTCTCTCAAGTTTCTCTTCGACTCTTGATTGTCTTTGCATGATATCAAATTGGATTTTTTTATATCAACCAATTCAGACATCAAAATGTCAAATTTACTCTGTTTTCCCTCACCGTCATCCCCCAATACAACCATCTCTTATTCCTTCTCCTCTACCTCCACTGCCTCCACTACATCCTTGCCAATAACCTTCAAAATTAAATTACAATATTAAGACATTGAATATATTCTTAATATTATTTAATTACATTTATTACCCTTTCTTGATTCCTCGATCTATCCAACTTCAACTTCGTCATCACTCTAACCACCTCTTCCTTCCCCCATGCACGGATGTGTGCCACTCCGATTCTTTCATAAGCCGGCACTGCCTCACAACCCAACCAAAAATCGAACAGTGCAACCTGTATTTATAATACAATTTATAATTTTATATAATAAATATATTATCATTTTATATAAAAAAACAAAAACGTTCTTGAACTCATTTACCTCTAAGATTGCTATGTACCCTTTGAGGTATCTCTGGCTGTCATTTTTAAAGGTGATTATTGATTCAATCAATCTCGAATGGACATATTCAGCCCAATTGAATTCACCCTTCAAGCCTTCATCGCAAATGAGCTTCATATAGTCCTTGTTCATTGACGTATCACCCGTTCGACAAAGAAAGATCCCGACAAGGTACAATAGAACTCGGGCCTTTAACTCATCCCCCGTAAGATCCACTTTTGATTTCCTCTTCAAGTTCAGAATATGTAACCTTCTGCTTCAAACCATATTTGGAGGCAAGTGTTTTCCAGTTCTTACTCTTAGAGACTTCTACAACACTTTTGCCTTCATTTCCTACCCCCAAGACGGCTGCAGCACATGGGATCCCGAGAGGAAATGAAAAATCACCATATTTAGCAATACATTGTTTGACATCAAATTGCACCATCAAGGATCGACACAATTCCCTCTGAATAGGTCGATCACTTACTCCTACCAACGATCCAAACCTCATTTCTCTCAGCACATTCAACTGACCCTTCTCCTTAAGGTGTATAATTAATGAATTCACCCTTTTAATGCAGCATCTTGTCGACACTTCTTACATTTTTTAACAATATATAATGCTATAGTTCTTATATATTTTGTATCAACGTAATTACAAGTTTAATGAATACCTTCTTTTCATGTGCTTTCCTCCATTCTTTGTATTATTCACTATCCATCTTTGACTGTGCGATGTAAGGTTCCTTCTGAGCATCAGTCATCGAATTCCATTTCTCCAACACATCATTTCTCACATAATATTAAGCATGAACGTTTTTAATCAATACATTAACGCTAAATAATACTCAATGTCAATTTCAATTTACATACCGAACTGATGTGTTAGCCACATTCCTTCATCCTTTTGCATTCGGTCATACTGTCAACATTTAAAATTTGTCATCAATTTAAAGTTCTTCAATACTTTAATCCAATTATCATTTCAACAATAATAACAAAAAGACATTGATACTTACTAGAAGTACATATATCCACCCTTTGGTTACTTTCGAGTCTCGGCCTCAATTTCAAAGTCATTTGCGCAACCAACAATATTTCCACCCATTGACTCCATTTTTCCTTCATATATCAGTGTACGCAAATCAAATCAAATACTTGTTACATACACTTTATTCAATATACAAATACATATAACTACTCTTGTGGTAAAACGATTTTCTTCAAAAGAATTTGAATACCACTACAAAAGGTGTCGGCACATTTATACAGCCTAAAATATCATTTTCTACCTATAATATTATATACAGGTATCCATATTTATTTTCTACCTATAATATTATATACAGGTATCCATATTTATTTTCTACCTATAATATTATATAATCGGTCTCAAATCTTTCTTGGCTTCGATTCGAAATCCCTAAACCAAACCCAAAAACCATAATCCCTATTTTCTTCAAACAAATGAGAACACTCAATACTCTAAGTATCAGCACATTTATACAACCTATAATATCATTTTCTATCTATAATATTTAAAAAAAGTATCGATATTTATATTTTACCTAGAATATCGCTTTCTACCTTTAATCGATCTCAAATGCTTCTTTACTCCAAAACCCCAAATAACACATAAAAAATCCTATTTTCGATTACTGTAATAATAAAAAAAACTAGGGTTTCGACAACGTACTTTTCGATTTGGCTGCAACAACAAACAAACAAACTTTGCTTTAGAAACGCCTTCTGAAATGCAGCAACAATTACGCTTCGATTTCAAAAACTCGTCCGTTTTATATATTTTTCAGATGATATTTAACTATGCCCTTTATATTTTCACCGGATATGTTATTTATATTTAATCGATACAACTACAAAAGTGTCGATACTTTTATGTCATGTGTCGATACTTTCGATAGTATAATTATCTATTTCTTTGAAAATATCGATAATTTATTACGCGTACTTATTAAAGTATCGACACTTTCAATATATCCAGTAGCGTTTTACCGGTTTTGTCATTTCAAGACCGGTTTTGTCATATTTTTACTTGTATATCGTTGTGGACCGATACATTGTTATAAAGTATCGACACTTTATAGGCGCTAAAACTGTTTCTCTTTTAAATTCACAAAGGGTCGATACTTATATTAAAGTATCGACACTTTAAATATATATGGTCGCTCTATACCGATTTTGTCCTTTAGATACCGATTTTGTCATATTTTTACATGTTATATCATTATGGATCGATACATTTTTATAAAGTATCGACACTTTATAGGCGCTAAAATTGCTTCTCTTTTAAATTCACAAAGTGTAGATACTTATATTAAAGTATCGACACTTTCAATATATTCGGTCGCTCTATAACGGTTTTGTCCTTTAGATATCGGTTTTGTCATATTTTTACTTGTTATATCGTTGTGGATCGATACATTGTTATAAAATATCGACACTTTATAGAAACTAAAACTGATTCTCTTTTAAATTCACAAAATGTCGATACTTATATTAAAGTATCGACACTTTCAATATATCCGGTAGTGCTTTACCCGGTTTTGTTTTTTCAAGACCGGTTTTGTCATTTTTTTACATGTTATATCGTTGTAGATCGATACATATTTATAAAGAATCGACACTTTATAGGCGCTAAAATTACTTCTCATTTAAATTCACAATGTGTCGATACTTATATTAACGTATCGTCACTTTCAACATATCCGATAACGTTTTATCGGTTTTGTCTTTTTGTGACCGGTTTTGTCATATTTTTCTTGTTATATTGATGTGAATCGATACATTTTTATAAAGTATCGACATAAACCGACAAACTAAGTTTACCGATTTCTAATTTTTTTAATATTTCTTCATAATTTAGACCTACTACATTATTATTATTATTACTTAATATTTTCGATAACGCTAAATCAAATTTATTAAATATCTTTTAAAATCCGATAACAACCTAGCAATACACTAGCCTGCCTTTCCTCATGCATCTCCCACCTCTTCCCCTCCTACCAGAAACAGAGAAAAGAGTGTCGACTCTGTTAAAAAGCAAAAGCAGCCGAAATGAGCGGAGCCACGACGGCGGCGTATTTAGCTCGAAGAGCAGCTCAGCAAGAAAGGGTTCGGATCCTCTACCGTCGTTCCCTCAAAGATACCCTTAACTGGGCCGTCCATCGCCACCTCTTCTATCAAGATGTAAATCACGGATCTTTTCTCTCTTATTCTTTCTCATATTTTCTTAATTCATTGAATCTTTTATTTCACATTTATGTTTTTTAGGCCTCTGATCTTCGCAAAAAATTCGAAGCCAACAAGCATGTGGTTCGTCTTCCCTCGTTTCACGTTTTCACATGATTTCCTCCTTGTTATTTTTAATTTACAAATTGAGCTCATTGAATTTCTGCAATTGAACTTGTCAAGGACTCATTTAAATGGTGATGATCGCAGTTTAACTGTTTGGAGTTTTGTTGGTTTAACTTCGAGGTTATTTTGGCTTTTCATTCTATCTTTGACGATGTTGCATTTTACAATCTGGGTTTTTTTGCAGGAAGATCTTGACACAATTGACAAAATGATAGCTGCAGGTGAAGCAATGTATGATAAGTGGAGGCATCCTGATCCTTATATTGGTAAATACTACAATAGTGTGTTCAATGTTGTAGGTTTTATAAGGGACTTTTTGTTTCAATCAATGGGATATGGAATTTTTTTCCCCTCTTTTTGCTGATGCGAAGTCTCATCTCAAAGAGACACTCGTATTAGAGAAGGGGAGAGTTAATGGACTTGAGATAGAATGTTTATGTCATCTCAGTAGTTCTTGTGGAAGGAATTGTATATGTTCAGGTTATGTTCTTTTGAACTTTCTTGTGAAACATTTGAGAGGGATATAGCTCAATTTTGAAAATGGGATTATTTCTTTCTGATGACTTATTAACTCTTAGTTATCATTTCAATTCTTCTCAGACAAACTATAGTTTGATTATTAATACTGAACTTTCATTGACTGTGAGAAACAAGTTTCAGAGAGCTAAGCAAGGTGAAGAGAAATGCTACCAAACTAAAGCTATTTCAGTTTGCCTCTCTTTGCTTAGTTGCATCCACTTGGTCACCAATAGTTGGTTATTACTAGCAAAGTCTTGCTCTTGCTATGACACTTGACCGATTGGTTATGATTTCCTTATAATGTGCATACTTTTCGGTTTTAAACCTATTATTCTGTTTGAGGCTAACATCTTTGTTCCATTTGTAGTTCCCTGGGCTCCCGGTGGTTCCAAGTTTACTCGAAACCCTGTCCCACCATCTGGGGTAACTATTCAACGCCTTTCTCACTAACTATATGCTATTTCTTTCTTTTCACATGTTTCCTTATTTGCGGTTCTTTTTGTACTCTATGCGTTATTATTGTTTGAAATATTCGTGAGTACGTTGACTCTTTCTTGCTTTTCGAGTAGACATGCACTCTATTTATTCCTTGTTTCTTTCAATATATGTTTCATAATATTTATACAATTTGAGATTTGCTCATCTCACATTTCATGCTGTTTTGTTCTATCCATTTGCCTTCTACGGTTATCCAATGTTCATAATGATTATCATACCATCATGCTGAAGATTAGAAGAAGTAATTGGAGAATTCTGCTAGTGTGTCTTGTTTTGTTTCTCTATAGTAGATAGCTTCTTTCTTCCTACCTTTTTACTCCTTTAAATATCTTATTTTATTAGATTGTCCCAAAATGGGCTTTTTTATCATGTTCCTTATCTACCTGACCTAGATGTTGTCAAGAAACTATTTGTAAATTTCTGATTTAGTTTGATTTTGTTTTCTTAAGTTTTATCCTGTTCTGATCTTTCTTTCTTGATGCAGATTGAGATTGTGTATGATTATGGTAAAGAAGTCAACGATTAAACGTGATCTTTTCTATTCCAAGAAATAAAGGTTAGCCATGTATTTTATTATTTAGGTATACATCGTTATCATATTGAAAATGTATACTTGCAAAAATGTATTAGCAGGTTTTAACCTGAACTTATTTTCGGGTTTTTAAGATGCACTCCCCTGAAATCATTTAGTTTATTTTTGGAAATAAAGAATTTGTTCTTTTGTCACCTAATCAAAATGATATTCGACATATTGGTGTCTCTTCCTAAATTTGAATGATAATTGCACTAAGGATCTAATCATCTCCCTGAGCATCCTCTGATAAGGAAATACCATGTTGAATCACGTCTAGGTAGCAGTTTGTTACTGTAGGAGAAGAAGAGAGACGAGGAAACGAGAAAGAATTGGGCATTGAGGAGCGAGAGTTAGGGATTGAAGAGAATGAATTAGAAATTGAAGCACGTGAAGGGCAGGTGAATAACTTATCCTACTGAGTTGGAGCAGCCTAAATCCGGAAGCCCAATACCTACAGAAGAAAGGAAAAGTTAGAGTTAGTTAGTAAAGGACAACCACCTGGCATCCTTATATTCTCAGAACAATTTGTAACTAAATAATACCTGAATGTTGAGGCCATTTCCCTCGTGATTTGAATGAATGAATTTTTCATTTCTCTGATTCTCTCCTTTTTTTCTGCTATCTTTCTCTCGATCAATTCTCTCTTCTCTTGAGCTATAACAAATTGGTATCCAGAGCCTCCATTCCTAGCATGTTTTTGAGTGGGTATGCTAAAGGAGAATCAGAATATGGCTAAAACTGACCTTTCTGCCATGCAAAAACAAATGATTTAGCTACGTTAGTGAAACAAGCCCAAGAAGAAACTAATCCCCCTAAATGGTGGGAAAGTCAAGAAAACCGTATTAATTCATTGGAATCCAGGATGACCACCAACCAAAATTATGTAGAGGAGCTTTTGAAGATTTTGATAGGCAGAAATGGTGATAAAGAGATCTCTGCTAGTGAACAGGTACAAACTCCTAATACTTCTAAATACGAAGGAAAGAAACCTGTTATGGTTACTGTGATTAATGATAAATCCCGATTTACTTATAAACCTGATGAACCTGTGATTTTGAAGGCTAAACCTGATGATTTTCCAGCTCCTAAGAATAGTTCTAAGCCTGATAATCAAATGGGTGAAAACAGTGAATCTAGACCTATTTGTTTTGGTTCTGAAGTTGATAAACAAGGCCCAGGGGGTTCCTTTAACATTTCAGGGTCGATGTGACATCGACCTAAGATTGAACTGCCATTTTTCGAAGGGGTCAATCCTAGGGGGTGGCTCCAAAAATGTCTTAAATATTTTTCCCTCTGTAGTGTACCTGCAGATCAGAGGGTAGAAGTAACCACTATGTATCTAACGGGTAAGGCAGAGATTTGGTTCGATGGGTATATCATGCAGAAACACCATGTGACGTGGCATGAGTTTGAAGCAGATCTTTGTCACAGGTTCAGTGATCGATCCTTTTCTGATATAGTGGAGGAATTTACAAAGTTGACTCAAAAAGGTTCTGTTGAGGATTATCAAGAACGATTTGAAGAGCTACCTCACATGCTATTACAAAATCCTACCTTAAGTGAGGATTTCTTTGTATCACTTTTTATCAGTGGGCTTAGGGAAGACATTAAACACAAGGTTAAAGCTCTAGATCCTAAAACTATGTCTGAAGCATGCAAGCAAGCTAAACTTTATGAATTATCTGTTGAGTTTGAGAACAGAAGAATGCGATCTTCTTTTAAAAACCCACCCTACCCAAACCCAATCACTGCTTCTAAGCCAAATTTACTATTATTACCTCCCAAGACATCCCTACCACCACCAAAACAGAACCTCACTGACTACAAAATGCAAAATAATCTATGTTTTAAGCGTGGTGAGAAATTTGCTCCAGGTCATCAGTGTAAACATGGACACCTGAACATGATTACTGAAGAAGACACCACTATTCCATTAGAGGTTTTTCCTAATTATTCAGATCAACCTATACAACAACAAGAAGAAAACCTAGAAATTTCTATAAATGCTATTACTGGCTGCATTGGCCATAATACATTGAGAATCCAAGGAACTATTCAGGGTAAACCACTGAATATTTTAATTGATAGTGATAGTACCCACAATTTTTTAACCCCACAATGGGTTGATGCTGGAATACGGATCACTACACCTTACCCTTTGTCCATTACTATAGCTAATGGACAACAACTTTTCAGTTCAGCTAGATGCAACAAGGTTGAATGGCAAATGCAAGATCACACTTTTATACATGATTTCAGACTACTTAAACTGGGTGGAAGTGACATGGTCTTAGGGGTTGAATGGATGAAATTATTTAGTCCAATACTAATGGATTTCAACAATATGACATTAAGCTTTGACCACCAAGGAGAGCAGATTGTTATTCAGGGTCAACAACCATCTACAATAGATTTCAGGGGCTACATTACTAAAAATGACAGCATGAGATTATGATATTATGGGCCACATTGTTCTACTAAGTATGACAGGGAATCCTTAACCTATTCCCACTGAAATCCAACCCCTATTAGGTAGTGCAATTTTTGCAGAACCTGAAGGTCTACCACCAGAGAGAAGTCATGACCATGCCATTCCACTCAAACCTAATTCTACTCCTATTAATTTAAGACCACCCTACAGGTTTGCTCACAATTAGAAGGCTGAGGTAGAAAAACAGATTCCAAGCATGCTCTCTTCCTCTATTATAGCAGGAGTCCTTTTGCCTCTCCATGTCTCTTTATTAAAAAGAAAGATGATACTTGGAGATTTTGTGTGGACTACAGGTAGTAAACAGTATGACAATAAAAGATAAATTTCCTATTCCTATGGTAGAGGATTTACTAGATGAATTGAATGAGGCAGTTTATTTTTCCAAAATTGATCTGAGATCAGGATACTGACAGATTCGAATCAGATCAGAGGACATTTACAAGATAGCCTTCATAACACATCAAGGTTATTATGAGTTTAAGGTGATGCCTTTTGGCCTTACTAATGCTTCTGCTACATTTTAGGCTCTTATGAATAAATTATTTAGTTCTTTCCTTAGAAAGTTTTTATTGGTATTCTTTGATGACATTTTGGTGTACAACAATAGTATGAAGGACCACATTAATAATTTGCAGAAGGTTTTAGAAGTTTTGCAAGTAAACTAATTGTTTGCAAAATTGTCCAAATGTTTTTTGGACAAACTCAGGTGGAGTACTTAGGCCACATCATTTCAACTACAGGGGTGGCTACTGACCCTAGCAAAGTGAAAGCAATGCAAACTTGGCCTAGACCTAAAACCCTTAAGTCTCGACGCGGGTTTCTGAGTTTAATAGGGTACTGCCGAAGATTTATCAGAAACTGTGTAGTCATTAGCTGACCTTTTACACAACTGCTAAAGAATGACTGTTTTAAGTGGAGTTCTGAAGCTTGTACTACCTTTGAAGACCTTAAAAAAGCTGTGTTCTGCTCCTGTCTTATCATTATCAGATTTTTCTAAAAGTTTCTATTTAGAAACAGATGCTAGTTCTGGGGGAATAGGCGCTGTACTCTCACAAGATGGTCGACCTATTGCTTATCTTAGTAAGGCTCTCAGCCCTCGACACTCTGCCCTTTCTATATATGAACGTGAATAACTTGCTATCTTATTAGCAGTCTCCAAGTGGAGACATTATCTGGAAAGCAAACCTTTTGTTATCAAGATTGACCATGAACCCTTGAAGTTTCTTTTGGAGCAAAAGTTGACACTATTCAATAGAAGGGGTTGACCAAACTGCTGGGACTAGACTACACTATTCAGTACAGAAAAGGAAAATCAAATGTGGATGCAGATGCTTTATCCAGACAGTCGGAAGATCAAGCTCAATGTTTTGCTATGGGAGTAACATTATTAATACCTAGCTGGGTTCAGGAGGTAGAAGACAATTATAAGGAGGACAAGCTAGCTCAGGAATGGATTTCAATCCTGACTGTCAGTCCTACTGCTAACACTAGATGGAAATATTCCAAGGGTGTCCTCAAATACAATGGAAGGGTGTATATTGGAACTACTGGAAGTCTTAGACTACAAATCCTTCAGACCTTGCATGATTCTCCACATGGAGGTCATTCAGGAGCACATGCTACATATCACAGGATAAAGTCAAATTTTTATTAGCCTAGACTTGAGGTTATCGTGGCAACTTGTGTGAAATGTTGTAAAACTGCAGTTTGTCAGCAAACTAAGGTGGAACATATAGCAAAGCCTGGCTTGCAACAACCCCTGCCTATTCCTAACCAAGCCTGGGAAATAATTACAATGGATTTTATAGAGGGCCTACCTACCTCCTTAAGGAAAAATTGCATCCTAGTTGTAGTGGACAAATTCACCAAATACAGTCATTTCTTGGCACTGTCTCACCCTTATTTTGCAGCTGAGGTAGCTAAATTATACCTAGACAATGTCTATAAACTGCATGGTCAGCCTAAAATGGCCATTTCGGACAAGGATAAGACATTCACTAGTGTCTTTTGGAGAGAACTGATGAAACAAATGGGCACTAGAACTCTGTTTGGTGCTGCTTACCTTCCAGAAACAGATGGCCAAGCAAAGAGGGTCAATCAATGTTTGGAGCAGTATCTTCGAGGACTCTGTTTTTCAACCTAAACTATGGGCTAAATGGTTACCCCATGCTGAGTGGTGGTACAACACCGCCTACCACACTGCCCTACGACTCACTCCTTTCCAGGCCCTATATGGCTACAAACCCCCAACTATGGTTTGGCATACAGACTATTAAGTACAAACTGTGAATGAAATGATGAACAACAGAGAGGAAATTCGACAATTAGTTAAACAGCAGTTGGAATTGACTATCAATATAATGAAGCAACATGCAGACAAGAAAAGATCAGAGAGAGTATTCGAAATTAGGGACGAGGTTTACCTGAAATTACAACCTTACAGACAAACTTCACTCGCTCTGTGAAAGAATCTGAAAGTGGCAGCCAAGTATTATGACCCATACAAGATTGTGGAAAAAATCGGAGAAGTTGCTTATCGTTTGGAATTACCGGAGACATCCCGATTGACCCGTATTCCATGTTAGCCTACTGAAGAAACACATTGGGGAATCATCGACCTCTGCAATCGATCCTCCTACAGTAGATGAAGAGGGTCAATTCAAAATCTAACCCTTAAAGATAATGGGCAGGCGTATTGTTAATTGCAACAACAAACCGATAACTCAGCTTTTAGTTCGATGGGAGAATCTGGATGAAGCAAATGACACTTGGGAATATTTTTTAGTTCTCAAGGGCCAATTTCCATCATTTGATCCTTGGGGACAAGGATCGTCTCAAGGGGCTGGTATTGTCACAGTAGGAGAAGAAGAGAGATGAGGAAACGAGAAAGAACTGGGCATTGAGGAGCGAGGGTTAGGGATTGAAGAGAATGAATTGGGAATTGAAGCACTTGAAGGGCAGGAGAGTAACTTAACCGGCTGAGTTGGAACAGCCCAAATCCGGAAGCCTAGTACCTGCAGAAGAAAGGAAAAGATAGAGTTAGTTAGTAAAGGACAGCTACCTGACATCCTTAGATTTTCAGTACAATTTGTAACTAAATAATACCTGAATGCTGAGGCCATTTCCCTCATGATTTGAATGAATGAATTTTCCATTTCTCTAAATTCTCTCCTTTTCTGCTATCTTTCTCTCTATCAATTCTCTCCTCTCTCGAGCTATAACAAAGTTAAAGTCTCTCTGCAGCTTTACCGATTTCTTTATTTTTGTAATGATGAACTTGTAATTTTTGGTTGATTCAGGTCTAGAGAATCGTTGAGCGTAATAGGGATCAAACAACAGCAACTTTGTTCGCATTCATTGAAGTGAAACTAGTTGAAGCTTGAATAACACTCATGTTGATGCTCCTTTTGACTTAATTGTTGTCTGCTTTATCCTACAAGACCATTGCTTAGATAACCAAATGGTTGTTAACAGTGTACAGAAATACTATGATCATGAAGCCTTTTGGTGACAAACAATTTGTCTTAATCTTATAATTTTTTTTGTATTTATTGTCTCTTTGGCTACTTAGTGCACTTGTCAAATGTGCCATTGGATACCTTAATATCAAAGGGTGCACTATATATTTTGCTAGGGTCATCAAGTCCGGTGTATCTATGAGCTTTAGGGCAGACTATTATCTAATTAAAAAAGATGTAGAAACCTAATCAACCTTAAAAGCTTGCCTACGTACACACGTTCTGTAAACGCAGTTGCTTGAATCCGAATTTTCTAGAAAAATGATATTCACTTTAATCATTGAGGTCACTCGATGGGTTCAAAGTATTATGTTTGTATTTAACGGATTTAGATACGAAGGTATTCTAATTTGCTTTGATTTAGGTTTGTAAGATTTTATGTTATAGTGGAAATTTAAGAAGTTATATTGGAAATTAAAAATTTAGGGCGTGTGAAATTATAAAATTTCAAGGGTGCGAAATTAAATTAACAAAAATTATAAAAAAATCTAAACTATGTGAGATATTAAAATTTTTAAGGGTACGATCTCATCCCCTTGGTATATTCATGTTTGTTCTAAAATAATATCATATGTCTGAATCATTCGTTTTATTTATATAGATAGTAATAGCATGAGATCTTCTAATCTTATATTTGCATGCTTTGTTTGTATAATGTATTTTTTTAGAAAAATTGACTTAATAAATGGAATCAAACAAATTCCTTAAACATGTAAACTCCCATCCCATCCCATGTGACTTAACGTCCCTATACGCCATTGAAGTTGGAAGAGGCAAATACACAAATGTTTCATTTCCTAGAAAGTAACGTGATTTCAGATTGGAAATCTCAAATATTTCATAAACGTGGCTCATCAATGTTCCATCACAATTGACATCTTTGATTTCACAAATCTTGGATTTCACTTGGTTTCATCATCTCCATGCAAATTTCATGATCCATCCACCATTTTAACCAACGCTGATTCCTGGAATCCTTCGACAAAAATTCCCATTGCAAAGCTTTATGTCATTGTAATATTTCCCCTACGTTTCATATGCCTGCTCTTTGTTTTCTATTGGGAAGGTCATCGGCCATGAAGGATGATAAATTTAGGCCGAGGATGAAGAAGATGAAACGCAGGTATGGTGCCGCTACACCTGCATTGTTTCGCATAACAGGCTCCGTGGTCACTATGGTGTTGCTATTATTGACCATTTGCTGCGGATTCCGATTGACGATGGAACCTTGGCGGTACCTTGCCATCGGAGCTCAGGCATTCCATCTTGGTGTCACAACGATAATATTCGGTTTCCTGTTTCTGATCTTCGGGATTTCCATCCTGGCGGACATGCTTCTGAATATATCAGAACAGTTGCCGGAGATATCCGGTATGCATCAAGGTAATAACAAAAGGGTGACTCGTCGTTTTATTTCGTTTCTTTTCTTATGTGCATGATGATGATCTTGGGAATGAACCACAAGTAAAATCTGGGAAATTTGATGGAATTTTCTTGATCATAAACCATAATATTCAAAGTACACCAGAATGTGAATATGTTTTAATTGAAAATGCTTGCTCATTGTGTCTCCCATGAAACAGGGAAGCAGGAAACAAGGACGATATCCAAAGCTATAGGCCAGGTCCTGGTAACTGTAATAACAATGTTCGTGATCTTGTGGGCGACATACACCGGATTTAGGCTTGCAACCGAATCGGGGGAGAGCAAGCAATATCTGTTAACGGTTTCAATTGGAGTCACCACCATTTTATTCGGCTTAATTTATTTCATCATTGGACTTTCCATTGTTCAGGAGCTTGTACTAGAATTTTTGACCCGTTCACAATAGAAAAAAAAGAGACAAACAATGAAACAGCACTGGTTTTCATCATGGTTGTAAATTGTAATGCCGGATTTTTTAGAGTTTAGCTCCATGAAAATTCTTTACTTTTCGAGCAACCATTGTTCCCATGTAAAGGAGAATTGAGCCACTGGAACCCTAACCTTTGATGTCTCATGCAGATACTTGTTGTTCCCTTCTTCTACATTGGAACATAAAGGTAAAATGGTGGAAGATAACAAAGAAATGATAGGAAATTGTTATTTGATGTCTCATGCTCTTTGGCCTGTAAAACAACAAGCATATGGATCCAAGTAGATTTGATGTGCGTACCAACATTCAGAAATGATATTCTTTAAAAAAAATCTGGGTACAGGTCAGATATTTGAATGTTAAAAGATCATTCTTTATATTAATTCTATGTGATGCCTGCATATGAGAATGTTGAAATGTGGCTGCATTGCTGCTAGAATGACACTGGATTGAAATTCTTTCTGAATCAAGTTTTTTTGTGTTGTTTTTTTCACTTAGTTTGGAATTGATATGTCAGATCTATTAATTTATTTTAGTTACTAAATGATCAAAATTTTCTTATAGTAGGTAAAAGTGGGTATACTTTTTTATATATGTTTGATCTCACAATGAAGAATCGATTAATAAGAGTGTTCCAAGAAATACAAAGGTATGTCTTGCATTCAGAATGGAGTTTATGATGTGATCTTCACAAGGATTATGGCTTGTGAGACTCCTAAGGAAGCTTGGGACAAGATGAAAGAAGAATTCCAAGGTTCAGAGAAGACTAGACAGCAGCAACTCATCGATTTAAGGAGGGATTTCGAGAATTTGAAGATGAAAGAAGGAGAGACTGTCAAGCAATATTTCAGACATAATAATTGCTCTTGTTAATATCATTGGGACATTGGGCTGCTTGGAGATGAATTTAGGGACAAAAGAATTGTGGGGAAAGTGATTACAACACTTCTAGAGAAATATGATTCCAAGATCTCGTCTTTTGAAGACTCAAGGGATCTATCCATCATTTCCTTGTCTGAGCTTATAAATACATTTTATGCTCAAAAGCGAAGGAGAATAAGTAGGCAGGAAGAACATTCGGCTGGGCACTTCAGGCTTGGAACAAAGACAAAGGAAAGAAGAAGTATCCACTTTGTGCATACTGTCAAAAAACCATTCACTTGGAGAAGTATTTCTGGTTTAGACCAGACATACAATGTAGATCTTGCAAGCAATTTGGTCACGTGGAAAGGGGTTGCAAGAATAAATCCCAACAACAGTAAAATGCACAAGCTCAGACTGCTGATGGTAACCAATATGAGGAGGAAATGTTCGTCGCATCTAGTTATGCAACCAAGCTAAAGTTGGTTGATTGATCGATAGTGGTTGTACAAACCACATGGTTGCAGATGAAGAAGGCACGTTCAAGAAGATTGACATAAATTGCACTTCAAAAGTAAGATTAGGAAATGGGAGCTACATTCAAGCAAAAGGAGGAGATGTAGCAATGAATACTCCATCATGTACTAAAGTTATTAAAGTACTTTCGGTGCCTGATATTGATCGAAACTTGCTTAACACTTCTCAGCTTCTTGAGAAGAATTACTATTTCATTTTCAAAGATAAATGTTGTACAATCTATGATCCAACTGACTGTGAGATTACTTCCGTTGCCATGATTGATAGAAGTTTTGTTTCGAATTGGAATTTGTTATGTGCATATACAAGTATGTCAGATAAGAATATATCATGTAATAAAAATTAGGATATTCAGAAAATTTTGAAGAATTTTGTGTTGTTGCTGGTGCTGAGAATCAATCTGCTCTCACTTACAGGCCATGATAAATCGAGGTAAGTGAAAGGAAAAACAAGATCAAACTTCATTTTGTGAGAGAAGTGGAGCAAAATAATGAAACCATCCTGATTCATTGAAGTTCAAAGGATCAACTTGCTGCTATATTCACAAAGCCCCTATCAAAGGTCAGATTTGATAGTTTAAGGAAACTAATTGGAGCTGACAGCAAAGCAGCCGAGGAGGAGTATTGAAATGTGGCTGTATAGCTGCTGGAATGACACTGTTTTTTGTTTCATTTAGTTTAGAACTAATGTCAGATCTTTTAAATTTGGTTGTAGTTGTTAATTGATCAGATTTTTCTTATAAACTTAAACTAACCTCCAAGTCTTATAATAGGTAAAAGTTGATGTACTTTTTGACATATGTATGATCTCTCAATGAAAAATCAATGAATGGCTTGAATTATGCCATTGACATGCATTAGATTCACATGCTTCCTTCTTTTATAGATGAAAAAATCATATCAGATACGACCATGCCCATCCTAAAATAAAGCTTAACCAACAGCAACACCAGGTTCTAGGTGCAGTTTAGATTTGGGATTTCAGTCAGGATTAATCCAACCATAAATATCTCCCTCTTAAATTAGCATTCGGTCTAGATGCTATATGTTTGATGTTTGCTTCCTCTCTAAATATGTATATTCCAGAAACTTGGTAATATGTACCAGGTATGTTATTTGATCTCGACTGTGAGCACCAGATAATATGCCTAATATAAGCATCTGCAATTTATTTCTCGTGTTTTTGCATGTAATTCTATCATTTTTGCTTCGACATGGAGAACCTACACATCGGTATTTTGATAAGAAAACATTCGAGATGAATATATAGTTCTATTACTTTCCTATATCGAATGCCGTATGAAAAACATTAAGGAATTATGGATTGATTTAATCAACCCTTTAATGAGTACTTTCTCCCTGTGAATGCCTGGAACTTGGGATCTTCTTTCTTTTCAGGCTGCTCCTGTTTAGTCTGTTTTCCAGGTTCCTGCAAAATAGAAGAAATAACCATCTTATAGCTTGATTCTTTTTATTGAAAGTTGTATACTAGGCTAAGTCCAGATATTGAAGAAAAGCGGAGAACAAAATAAAGCAGTGTACCTGTTTTGTTTCCTTGGGACGGTTGACATTTGATCCAAAAACGAGCTTTCCCTGAGCCTGGCGTGCACTACTTTGTGAACTAGCCCCTGATGAAGGTTGCCTATTATTCCCATTGGAAACAGCAGGTCCCTTGTCTTTCATACCAGTTGAAAAAACTGGTGAAGGCTGCTGCTTCAGAGGCTTCCCATCCAAGCGTCTTCCAGTACCGGTAAAGGCACTGAACTTTGGTTCAGCCTCTGCAGGAGCTTCTTCCACTGAAGAAAAAAAATGGTTTTCCTCAGAAAAATACATAAAACATCACAAATTCTATTATGAACTTGAGTGCACTATATCCTACACAGATGTCAATGTCTTTTTATATCTCACTAGTCCACATGGAGTCATAAATTCCCAGAAGTTAAAATTACAGTGGGTGTAACAAGATGAGAAAAATATTCCAACCAAGCATACCAGTAGCATCTTTCTTATTTTTGCTAAGCAGATGAACACCATTCGACTTTAATACCACAAAACAAAATCTTAGGAAATTGAAAAGAAGAAAAATTAAGACAGCACTAAAAGTATGAACGATTGAGTTAGGAGCAAGAATGCAAAAATAAATCAGTATATGATATCTAGAAAAGATATGAACAAGTAACCTTGAGACTTTGCCTTGCTTGAAGTTGGAACAGCAGGCCTTTCCGGCTCCTTGTAATCCAGAGGAGGAGCAAAATCCACCTCACAGTCGGTCTCAATGATACTTATTGCATTGGAAGGTTTTGTCTCTATGATATCTATGTAGTACTTTTTATTGTTATATGCAACCATAATACTGTCCCCAGTGGTTAAACAGGAATAATTCCTCAATGTTGTCTCTAAGCTGCATAATAAAATAAATGTGATATTATAATTTAAATTTCTAAATCTGCTTGTAGAAAACAGGTAGGTAATCCCATAACAGCACGAAACAAAAACATATTTAAGGAGTTAAGTTCTCAAAAATCCAGGCCAAAAAGAAGAAACTCATTGGGCTTACATGAAGCCAAATCACACAAAATTGATAAGGTATATGATTAAGTACATGAACTGATAACAACTTAAATTCCCTTTTAAGCTGATCATCTAACACCGAAGAATCAAGCATACATACATTTAGAAACCTATCCACTCACATAGCTTTTGGGTTTGAAATATCCAAAAAGTCCTTCGTGTGGGGTTGCAATTTAACATAGGTACCCTTTGGAAGAGTTACAGTTTTTACCCTCACAATATCTCCCTCCTGTAGGAGCAAATTCTCCATCATCTACATGAAAACCATAGAAACAACAGGCCAAGAATCAGATTAGTAGGAAGATTTCCTGCATTTCGCTGGACCAAAAGCAATACCAGCGTGGTAATTATGTGAAGCATATACAAAACGAAAGACGCATAGCCTACCCAATATGGCATATAGATCATGCCTTCTTCAGCAATGAACTCCAGTACTCCACAATGAGAGGCACGCTCAGCAGCAGCATTACGAAGCTCAAATAACATTGGATAATCAATATGCAGGGATGCTGCATTGTTTTAGTGACAAATAACTTGCGTATCGTAAGGCTAGATTAATGAGAAACAAAAAGACCAATTACAGAAGTTAAATTGCTGCCAACACTAAAACAACCAACCTAAGCAATCAAGTGCTGAAGGAGGCATTATGACTGAAAGAACCATGAAAGAATATATATTAGGAAAATTATACTACAAAAAAAAAGGAACATATTATGAAAACTATAGGTTAGAAAGCTTACTCTTATCACCACTTTCAATTTGTGGCTGTGGGGAAACATAGAACAAAACAATATAGGATCAAAATCATGAGAAAGGAAAAGAAGCTAAAAAATTTGCAGGATTAGATATCATAAACCTTAGAAAGAATCTAATCAAATATGGTAAGTTATTGAAGCTAATGACTAAATTAGAAGTTTAGAACATATAAATAGCTCTTGAAGCAAGACGATAAAATAAAATAAAATTCTACTTTTACAGACCTTCTCAATGAAAGATGCAGGGTAACATCGATAACTCTGCTCAAATGATGTCCCATGGAAGCCATATCTATCGAAAAACTGCAAAATCAAGCATATGGAACAGTAAAATTACTAGTACGTACTGTCAACATCATCTCTATATCATCCATTGTAACCAGAATTTCGAAGTTACAATTGAGTTAAAAAAAAAACAATTTTCAATGCCACAAAAAAATCACTGGAAAAGAATATAGTAACCTTCGATAAACATAAAACTTACCATGTTGTAATGCTTATTAAGAGTCAAACCAGATAACTTTCTGTTCAACTTCCCTACAAGAAGAAGATCAGATGCCTCAAATTATAAAAATCTAACTTAGCTCACTAAAATTATCAATAATATCTTAAAAAAATAGACAAAATCAATATAAACATGTCATTTTTTTTATTAAAACAACAACGGCATTTGAATGAAAAGCTCATATTTTTAACTAAATTCATTTTTTCCAGGTGATTGAGTTTTCAATTGGTTTAATTGGCGAAAGAGGACAGATATAAGACGAAATGGAAGCTTGGTGAATAGCAATTGGATTACCTGAGAGAAAACAGAGAGCGAAAACGAACCCAAAAAAAAAATAGAAAACAAGTCAATTCGATGGAGTGACGATTATGCAAGTGTGGGGAATGGAATCCTCTATGATTCGCTTTATCTGCGTTTTCTGCAAGCTACAATATGATTTTGCCACGTTTCTATTTAAGTGAAACTTTTACTGAAATTATCCGAACCCGACATATTCTAAAGTCGGATTTTTTTTAATTACATTTAGGTGATATCAAATTTTACGAAGGTAAAATTAAATTGAATCGAAGTCGGATATATGGTAAAAATCTTCGACCTAGGAGAATAATATTATTAGGCTTAATATAAAAAAGTTTCAAACTATACTCTTTTTCACATTTAGGTGCTTAAATTTTTGTTCGATCAATTCAGGTGTCTAATGTTATAAACGTTATTATTTTAAGTATCCGACAGTAACTGTCGTTACAAAATTTTATTAAGTGACACATGTTGTATTAAGATAATTTTTTTTAAAAAAAATTTAAAAATAAAAAAATAAGAATATTATTATATTTAAAAGAGACTCTAACTTCTCTAAAATTAAAAAGAATCTCAAATCCTAAAAATATCTAAAAATCATAAAATCAACCCTAAAATCCTAACCCTAACCTTACAACCTCCCTAGCCGGCCACGGTCGTTGCCGTCGCTACAACCCTTAGCATCTCTCTTGTCGATTGTCATCCTTACTATTAATCGTGTCATCGGTTCGTGATTTTTCAAGGTTCTTTTTTAAAAGTCAGGTCGCGTAGGTGTCGTCGGCTTTTGGATTTTGGGTCGTCAGGGTCTTCTTGTTCGGTGAAATTTGGTCAGGTGGAGGTTCAACTGATGAAAATGGTGATAAAGGGCGGCAAATTGTGTGAGTATAAAGATTGAAATTTAGTGTTTTCAAAGTTTTGAGTTTTTTCTAAGATTTGAGAAATTTTTGAGTTTTTCTTTAAAATATCATTTTAAGTTTTTCTAAAAATAAAATTTTCAAAATTACTTGAATGTGAAATATGTCACTTAACAGAATTCTTTAACGACGGTTACGATAGGGACACTTAAAATCGTAACTTTTGTAATGTTAAACACCTGAATAAATCAAAAAAACTTTAGGCATCTAAAATGAGAAAAATGATATAGTTTGAAACTTTTTAATATTAAGCCATATTATTATCCCCAAGGACGAAGCTACATAATGGCTTGGAGGGGTTGTTACCCTCCCAAAATTTTGGTATAATAGTATTTTAGGTATTTTTTTAGTTTAATATTAGTCAAATAAGATTTTTTTCCCCTGTCAATTTTTAGTTTTAAATATTTAATAAAATTTTATTCTTTTGATGTAAAATAACTTTGCTCCCTTCAACATTTCATCCTAATTTTGTCCCTGATTATCCCCATATATCTAAAACAATTATTATAACATGTTCTCCTTTTTTAATTATCTCCATACTTTTACGATTATCTCTTTATTTTTATCAAATAAAAATAAAAATAAAAAAGTACAGATTACTATTAGGGTAAACTACATATTTAATTATCTAAACTATTACATTTGTTCCATTTTGATACTTAAACTTTATTTTTTTCTTTCAAAACCATACTAATCTTTTAGTTTAGATTTCAATTTGGTACCTCCCCTTTTAAAAAAATTTAACGACGGGTACAAAAATAAAACTTAAACTAAACGTTACGTATGATTTTGAAAAAAAAATATTTGAGTACTAAAACAGAACAAAAGTAATAGTTTAAGTACTAAACTTATAGTTTACCCTTACTATTATAACATTTCCCTAATTTTCAACTATTTCCTTTTTTTATAAAAATACAAAAAATATTTTTATATATTAGGTCGAGATACATTTTAATCTTTAAATTCAAGTCGAATTTAATTCATATAAAAAAATTCACTAAACATCTGGCCAAGTTCGAATGTAAAATTTAAACTTTGAATTAGATTCGAGACGATAAAAAAACTAATCTTACTTAACTCATACCATCCTTACTTTATTAATCAATTTTGGGCCCATTTCTAAAATAGAAATGTTTGAAAGTGGCCCAAAGTAAAATAATAATATTAGAAAGAACTTTGGGGCCATAACAGTTTAGACCCAATCTATTATTATTATTATTATGCCTATGATTACGAGTTCTTTAAATATTTAAAGAGCAAAAAACTTTTTATTAAAAAAAATAAATTTATATGTTTTTAATAATCTTGAGTAAATATAAGATAGTATATGTTTATAATTTTTTTAATCATTGATAAGCGCACACACTGCATGTACAAATACCCCCTTTATTCATTGAAGTTATTTAATGGATTCAAATGTATATTTTTTTATTAATAATGTTAATAATCATTTTATATTGAGTTTATCATGTTCATGTGTTGTATTTATATTTTACGTTTTTTGTATGCATTATTTTTAATATATTTTTACATAATAATATATATTACATATTTATATTCTTGAGAGTATCGTGTGTATATCATTTCGTGTTATGAAGTTTATTATATTTATTTAATTTAGAAAATAATATTTTGTGTTTGTGTCATGTTATATCACAATTCATCTCATATTTTATTTATAGTTTTTCAATTTAAATAGAAAATATATGTACCTATTATGCTAATGATTTTTGTATGGGGTAATTGTACTTTCAGTCCTGTAACTTTTCTATACTAATGTAATTGTTTTTTTTTTTCAATTCTCTATTAGTTCGATCCCTTTTATTCTCTATTATCTATTATTTTTAATATATATGTATGTGTTTTTTTATATTAATCAAATATCATTCCAATTATTCATATTTAACATATTTTATAAAGTAAATTTAAATCCGAACTCATAATTTTTTTTTAAAAAAATGAGATAACATATGTATTAATCTAATCCAACTTGACCCAAAATCAGAGAATCCAAATATCACACAAAATAATCAGAATAACTAGCCATTTTAAACTTTTTTTACTCAATCATAAAACCTAATTGTTCACTAACGGGATTGATTCAAGTCGTAAACAGCTTGACATTGCTTAAGCATATCTCGAGTTCGAGTCATTGTGTATGTGTTGAACTATGTTTCGATATAACAAATTTAAGGCAAAATGTTTTTGGACTTGAATTAAATTTATTCAAAGTTTTCAAAAGGTTTCAAAAATAATTCAAAGTCCATTAAATTCGAGTTTGAGCAAAAATGCAAATGGGTACTGATACCCCTTCAAAGGGTATCCATACCCTGGGTACCGATACCCCTTGTAACCCCCTAGACCCGGCCTATGCGTTTCGACTAAGTCTAGTGGATCACATACATGATTCTTAAAGACATTTTCTAAAACCGTTACCCAATCAATGTAAAACGACATTATTCATGACATGAAATTATAATAAATTATACTATTAAAACTCAACTCTTAAATATAAAACCAATCAGTAATAAATTAATTTAAAACATATCTTAAAAATCAAAACCACGATAAACTGAATAGTAATAGCAAAAGTATCATCATTATAAAATCCAATACTTTAAAATAGATCCATGTCACCAGAATAAAGTCAACTTGCAAGTTTAAAATATTACAATCACATATACTTCAAGAGATATGTTGATCCTCCAAGTGCTCGAACCAAGGTATCTAACCAACAGTATCTGAAAGGGGAAAAACATTTTCGAAAGGTGAGCTAGGCTCAGTGTGTCTCAACATTACCATAAAATCACAATAGGTACATTAAACAAATCATAGTCCAGTAAATCTCACAAATTCGTAAAAGAGTTTAACTTTTGAAAATCATAGTTTAAACCCTTTTCTGGTACACCATCAGTAGTTCCCAAAATTATTTTCGATATAGCTTACTTTATGCACATAGCAAAAAGAAAGCCGACTTAAGGATAGGCTATGATGCTTGTATCCTTAAGCCCAAGTTAATAAGTTCATATAGCTTACCCTAAGCACACAGGAAAGGAAAGCCGACCTAATGAAACATCTTGGGGCCCTCAAGAGTCATATTAGGCCCGTTTATTAGCTTGATCAGAGCTATACAATTGTAGTTCAATCTATCCCAAAATCAATATCCATATACCAGTCATCAAAGTCCATAAATCATCAACAATAAATCGGTGTACCAACAATAATAATCCATAGATTTCAATGTACCATATTTCAAAACATATAAAACCATTATGTAGTAAACAGGAACACACATCGATAATAGGTTCAATAGTAGATCTACTGATTGCTGGTTTCACCACGCTCTGCTATAGGTTTCGAACCTAATTTATAATAACACTATATTACTAATGGGTAACATAAATAAATCTCTAAAATCATAAAATTTACGGGTCTTACGGGTGAATACTGGCACACGTGGTTTAACTGATCTAGAAGAGCTGGGTCGAGCTGTCGAACAATCCGGAGAGTCTCTTGTACCTTCAAACAATAATAATCTATCAGTCCCAAATCCTATTTAATTGTTCAAAGCTAGACTTCTTAAGTATATAAGCATTTTTCGAGTTTGACTATCAATTTGGGGTATTTGGAGTCTGAATTTGGCCAAACAGATTGCGGAATCGGAATCAGGAAGTCGAAAAATATAAAGTATGACTTTTTGAAAATTCAAATTCTTGGTCAAAGTCAAAGTCAACCACTTTGAATGTCGATTTGGAGGCCTTCGGGTTCGAATTTGACGAAACGGACTTCGGAAACGGATTTGGGACGTCGAAAACTATCAA